TTTTTCCTACGACATCAGGTCAGAGCACCAGAAAATCAGGATGGGGGTTAGGGAAAGATGCCACCTCAGTAGAGCAGATATACACTTCATGAAGCCTGTTGGCAACTGGCAATTGAACACTGGCTGGCCCTCCAGTATAGATCTAAACAGAAGATCCAACCATCAAGTAAGAGAGAGATGGAGTGCCCAAAGCCAATCCACTCACCCTGCCTAGCAAAAAACAGCAAGAATTAATGAGTCTCTTCCTTCTCAAGGAGCAGTAAAGAGGAGTCACGACACCCAGGGTCTGTTAGAACACTGAATAACAAAGAGCAGAACAGCACCTCCAAGACCCAGAAGGGAGCACCTTTTTAAAAATGATGTTCTGGGGGCGCCTGGGTGGCTTAGTTGGTTAAGCATCCGACTTTCGCTTAGGTCATGATCTCGCGGTTCGTGGGTTCGAGCCCCGCGTCAGGCTCTGTGCTGACTGCCAGCTCGGAGCCTGGAGCCTGTATCAGTCTGTGACTCCCTCTCTCTCTGAACTTCCCCTGCTCATGCTGTCTCTCTCTCTCTCTCTTAGAAATAATATAAAAAAAAAATGATGTTCTGTACAGTCAAGAGACTTTTCAGGAAGCTTCTTGGCATGCATGCAGACAAACTCCATGAAAAGGGTACAAGTTTACAATAAAGCAGGTTAAGCAGAAAAGACAACAGAATGAGAGATGGGAAGAGAAAGAGAAGAGTTTTCAGGAAACAAAACTGCAGTGTCAGAATCGAATTTCACCTTGGTGTAGCAGTAAAGAGCAGATGTGTTGCTATTAAGCAATGAATGAATGATGCGCAAGAGAAACAAAATCTTTCTAACTACAAAATGGACAGAAGAGGAAAAATGTTAAAAGAAAATACAGAACATATAGACGATAGAAAATGGATAACCAAAATATACAAAATTGTGTCCATGCTTGCAAAGGACTGGGGACTTGAAAGAGTCCCTAAAAGAGATACCAGGACAAATGCCATGAACGTAAGGGCAGAGCAATGAAAGAGTAAAACCTGTCTTAGCTGAATAAAAACCAGATAATCTAGGTAAGGTTTTCGAACCTTATGAGAATTTTGAAGAAACCTTACATCTATCTAAGGACACAAATGGACAAATAGGTTACCTACAGTAGAATAAAGATCATTAACTTTGTAACGCTACATTCCAAAAGAAAATGGAACTGGAGCAACAGAGTTTCACGAGGGAAAATTTGTGACACAAAAAATATATTTCCAGCCGACTGAAAGCAATAGATGTTTTCAGTTACATTTTCTGGTCTCAGGAAACTGGCAATCGTTTAGAAAAAATATACTTGAAAATATATTCAAATGACAAAGAGATGAGTTTTGGTGACAAGCAATAAAATCAACTAAAATAGAAGTCTAACTTGTATTTAAATAAAATATTTTTTAAAAAGTAGAGATGGTTTGTGTTTTTTCAATGCTCAAATCTTACAAATACCAAAGTTCCTATAAAATAATTAAAGTTGGTTTAAAAACAATGTAAATAAAGTTTGCACAAATATACTTAAAAGTATATACGCCTTTGAAAATACTGGAGAAGATAAAAATGAAATATACCCCTATGTTTTTTTAAGAAAATGGATCGAAAAAATATTAAATAAACAGAAGTTATTAAACAATAAGAATTTACAAAGAATTACATAATCACTTCCAATAACAAATATGAATGAACTGACTTGATTAAAAAGACTGTTTGGCTAAAAAATAATATCATTACATATCGTGCCTCAAACAAAGGGAAAAATAATCACATAGTAAAATAATAATTTTCATTCATGGTAACATTATACATTACCCTGCAAAACTTTTGCTAAACACAGCTAGAAACTCAGTAATATGTAAAATGGCTTCTTTTCAACATATTACAGAGCTTTTAAGAAGTATTCCCAAGGGCCTCGAAACAAAGAAGCACTAAAATCCCGAATGGTAAATGTGGGAGCTTACACGGCAGTGTGGGTGGGGATTAGTCCCTGTTCTGGGAAATCTAATGGCTTGAATTTTAATGTACATGAATTGGAAACAAGGCTTCAAATGAATTCAAGGCAGAAAGTTGAACAGCTATCACTGCAGAAAGCTGAGACCTCTAATTGTAACACGTCCACCGAAAGAGTGGACTGAGAGAAGTGTCCCCACTCTCACAGAGGAGAGGAAGGAAGCTTGCCCCTTAGCCCGGGCAGCTCCCCTCAGAACTCCTCTCACAGGCCTGCACTTATGGGAGTTTGAGTTCAGATTTATACTATCTGATCTCAGATCTCCCAAGCTAAGGACTCAATTGAAAACAATTAGCTGTAAATGGATTGGCGGGAGGAAATGCAAAAGAACACACTTCCCAGAAGGTTTCCACAGATAGAGCCCTGTGGGACATGAACTCACAATCCACAATCACAGAGCATGTGAATAAATCTACAATGAGCAAAATTCAGCAGGCAAAACAGACAGGATTAGACCCTTTTTTATTGTAGAACTATCGGAGAAAATCTCTTAAATATCCACATTTACAATAATAAGACACTATTTAAAAATCTAGAGATTTGAGAGAGAACCACATAGAAAAGAAAACTAGAAACTGACTGGATAAGTTTAAGGGGTTCTATATACTGGACAGGTTTCCTGAACTTCATGTGAAATCTGAGAAAATTAATGCAACGGAGAAAAGTGAAGCTTAATGTAAAACATTAAAAAGGGGGTTGAAAATATGACAAAAGCAAAGAGAAGGCTATCATTTTTCAAATACCTAGGAGGAAATAATAGAAGAGGGGAGCGGGGTAAGGAGATAAGCAATATTAAAAGAAAATGGCAGATAAATTTCCAGAACTTGATGAAGGCAATGAATTATTCAGATTCAGAAAACACAGATTTTGGAAGTCCTGAGCAAAATAAACAGAACACATCCATGACCAGGCAAACTGTAATGCACTTTAGGACATGAAAGACAGAAAAACATTCTAAAAGCCATCAGAGTGAAGTGACAAGTTACTAGTGAGAAATGACCATGAGTCTTCCAAGCAGCAAAATGTTCATACAGAGAGAAAATAACCATGAACTTAAGATTTTATGTGACCTAAAATCCCATATCCAGCTACATTTTTTTTCAATACTGAAAGCAAGACAAGGATGTTTCAAGCAAGACTAGGGAGGTTAGCAGCCAGGTGCTATCTCTGAGACTTACTTAAGGAAATAGTTCAGGAATAAGAAAATAAAAAATGAACTCAGAAGAGCAAAGTAAAATGAATGAAGCAGCAGTGAGTAAAGGAAGTGGTAAACATGGGTAAGTCTTTGGGGTTTATAAAAACAAGATAATACTTAAAATACAGAGTAAGATCGGCATCTAAGTCAGGAGTTTAAAAACTAAGTTTTCTAAAACCCTGGTAACATTCTGAAGGCAGGCAGAGACATTGGGTAGTTTTAGATGTTGCCAAGTCAACCAGGCTTTAAAAATGTCAAGGGTACCCTCTTCCAGATAAGCAGTGGGAAGTGGGGTGGGGGTGGGGGTGAATTAAGCAATACAATGGAAAGTAGGGGAGGAGAAAAAATAAGAAGAGCCTTGCACACATAAAGCAAAAAAATAAAATGATAGAAATAAATGAAAATATGTCAGCATTCACAATAAGTGTATCAACAACACAGTAAATACAATTAAATGAAAGAACAGTCTAATTTTAGAGAATGTATTCACTTATTAACTGATTAAAGGACAAAACCTATATAATCATCTCAATAGACACAAAATATTTGATAAAAATCCAGAACTTGGTCACAATTTAAAAAGTATTTAATAGGGGGAATAGAAAGAAAACTTCTTGTCTTCAGACCTGGTATCTACCAAAACCCCAGAGCACATAATACATTTAATGATGAAACATCAGAAGTATTCCCTTTAAAGCTGAGGAAGAAGAAAGGATGCCTACTCTCCTTGCTGCTGCTCAACATTTTCCTGCAGGTTCTAGCTAGCACTCTTAGACATGAAAAAGAAATGAAAGCCCTTGGAAGAAAGAGAGCCAACAGTAAGTTTATCACAAAGAGTAAGATTATCTATATAGAAAACCAAGAGACTGACAGACCAGTAGACCAAACATGAAAGATGAGCAAGTTTGCTGGTTACAAAGTCAATATATAACAATCTACTACTTTTCTAAACATCTACAGAAAAGAAATAATATTAATGATATGGCATTTTAATAGCAACAAAAACTCTAATGTATCTTGGACCAAATTTAAAGAAAGTTTTAAAAGCCCTGTATGAAAAAAAATTATAAGACTTTATTAAAGAACACATACATTACTGGGGAGATGCACCATGTTCATGGGCAAAAAATCTGATGGTGATTCTCTACAACTTTAAAGAGAAATTGAATACAAATATAAGAAAAATGCCCACAATATTTTGGAAGAATTTGACAAATTGACCCAAAATTCGAAAGGAAAAGGCAAGAACAACCAATCTATCCTGAAGACAAAGGGAATGGAAGGCATAATTAAAACAATATGAAATTGATATAGGGATTTAGGACCAATGTGTTTATGGAAATACCATGTCAAGAAAAGCATTACAAAGTACTGGAGAAAGAATCAACCATTCAATAAATGTTGCAGAGACAATTTGAAAAAATAAAATTAGATTCCTCTTACACCACATACAACCAATTTCAGTGGAATTAAAACAAATATGAAAGGCAAAAGTTTCAGAATATTTTTGAAGAAAATATAGAATAATATTTTAATGACATGGGTGGAGAAGAATTTCAAAAGCAGGCCACAAAGAAACACAAGTTACAAAGGAAAATATAGACATATATGTCTGCACAAAATGAAAAACCTTGGTACCTTTTAGTACTATAAGTAAGCCACATGTTGGGAAAAAGTATTTGCTACCCATCTAATTTAAAAAATATTAATATCCAGATTATATAAAGAACTTCTCTAAACCAAAAGAAATAAATCTTTTAAAAAGGGCCCATGTGCTTGCTTTGGCAGCATACCTGCTAAAATTGAGATGATGTAGACATTGGCATGGCACCAGCACAGGATGACAAGCAAATTCATGAAGTGTTCCACATTTTGAAAGTGGACAAAAAGGACAGGTATTGTATGATTCCACTTATACAAGATACCTCAAGTAGGCAAATTCATAAAGACAGCAAGTGGATTAGAGTTTACCAGGAAGGAGGTACGGGGAGTTATTCTTAACTCATCATCTCCCAGTTCGTGGGTTCGAGCCCGGCATCGGGCTCTGTGCTGACTGCCAGCTCAGAGCCTGGAGCCTATTTCAGAGTCTGTATCTCCCTCTCTCTCTGACCCTCCCCTACTCATGCTGTCTCTCTCTCTCTCTCTCTCTCTCCTAGAAATAAATAAAAATTTAAAAAATTTTAAAAATAAAAAAAAAAAGAAAGAAAGTTATAGAGTAAGTAAAGGCCACCATAATACAGATACTAACAATAAAATGGCTTAAAGGTTAAAAAAAAAAACAACTACTCTTTCACATATCAGTCCCAAAGTTTACCCTCCTGGTCAGTGAGCCAACTTTGGTCCTCATGGTCATTCAGATAGCTAGTTCTTTCCAAGTCATTTCTCCACCAACAACTAGGACTGTTGTTTTCTGCAAAGCTGAAGTTGGGTCACCACCACGTTTGGGTTTTGGGTCTTATGAAGAGAGAAGAGAGCATGGACGAGGTACGCTCATTGCCTTATGGCTCTGACCCCGAAGTCGCAGAATGGAAACTGCTTAGATTGCTTCAGTGAGAACTCAGTCTCATAGCTGTATCCAACTAAAAAGTAGGCTGGGAAAGATGTCTAGCTGGATAAGATGCGGGAAGATGGAGAGAACGTATTTGGGTGCACAACTGGTAATCCCCACTATACCGTAGGACTCTATAGTTTCACAGCTGGGTGCACCTTAGCAGCACTTATGCACATGCAAACCAGGAGAGATACACAAGAATGTTCATGAATGCTCCACTCATAATAGGAAAAAAACAGGAAACATCTCAAATGTCCATCATTGTGAAACAAAAAATAAATGGTGTATTCCTCTACACGAGCAAAAATGAATAAATCATTGTTGCACAGTTGGAAAGATGCTCCTAAGACAACATCAATATTCAGCTAGGTAGTTATTAATATTTAAATTGTATGTCTATACATGCATACATACATATATATGTATATTCTATTCATTATTGTGTATATACTTAAAACAGCAAAGTTACCTCCTCAAAATGAACTAGATATAATTTTTCACCCAACAGACTGGTAAAAACAAATGTTTGTTAATATTAAATGCAGGCAAGGATGTGGGCAGATGGACAGTAAAAGTATAAATTGCAGTTTTATTCTGTAGGGCATTTTGGCAGTATCTAAGAAAACCTAAATTGGGCATCACTATGTATTGCAGTTTTGCTGCTTAGCACTAACCCAGAGGAAAAAAACATGGAGCACATAAGGAGGCTGTGTGCAGAGATGTTTAGTGCAACAAATTTTAAAACAGCACAAAACTGACAATCACCTGATGCCATTAATTAAGGAAAATAAACTCTGATCTAGCTATACTACTAAATATTACACATACAGTATACATTACAGTATAAAAAGAGTGATGTGCAACTATTTGAGTTGCACATTTGCAACTATTTGAGTTTATACATTACAGTATAAAAAGAGTGATGTGCAACTATTTGAGCTTAATGTCAGTAGATCTTCAAGACCCAGTGTTCTGTGAAAAGGCAAGTTGCAAAAAGAACTAGAGAAAACAGTATTAGATTTCCCATAGGGGTGTCTGTGTGTCTCACTTCATCTAACTGTATGTGTGCATGCTTTATGTTTTGAGTTGTTTCTAAAAAGAATTTGATGTTTAGAAAAGCCTACATGAGGAACTATTGTTTAAAATATTAATTTAGAAATGTTTTCAAAACAATACAAGATTTGACCATCTTACTAAAACTAAATGAAGAGATGAGACAGCTCATCCATTCATTAAAAGTATTTATTAAGTCCATACAATGTGTCCAAATCTGGGATACAGTAGTGAATTACCAAGTCCCTTCTTTACAAAATTCAGTCATTTGAAGGATTGAATTTTACCAAAAGTGAGACTTGGAAACCACAATACTAACCATTACCATGTATTTTTATGAAGCATACTCTCTGGGTTTTACTATTTAAAAAAAATACACAAGTCAATGGGACAAGTCCAGTAATTGCTCAAAGCCTCGGTTTACCCATCTGAAAAATGAAGTGAGTATATTTTCTGCTCAAAAGTCAGTTAACAGGCACTTGAGAGTGCAAAATCTGATCATTTTCTTTATGAAGTGCTATGTATGGTTGATCAAGGAAAAGAAATGAAGGCAATTTATCTTGCTCTTCACAAAGAGTCCAAGGTATGAAAGGCTAATCATTTTAACAAGAAATACAGTCCAGATCAAAATAGTGTTCGATGATCACACAACTAATTGGAGAGAGAACCAAAGGGGACTTATTAATGGTAAAATCTACAAGTGCTTTACGAGGAGGTCATTACAAAACACATGCCTTTTTTAACAGCTACGCCATAGACTCAATAGCGCAACAGAATACATGCTACTTAAATTTGTGTTTGTCACTTTTTGCCTTTTGAAATCTTAGAAAAAAAAACAGAACTGAGGATGGTTGGTTTTTCTAATGATTAATAGATGAGCCTCAGACTGGCAAGTTTGGCTCTGATCTCAACCCATCTAAACAGAGTCCCGGTTCCCCAAATAGCATCTGCATGGGTGCCATGGCCTGTTCGTCTGTTCCTCTTCCTGCCGGGATGATAGATGGTTTCACAGGCCTTAAAAACACTGGCCTGACAGAGAAGGACAAATATCATATGTGTGCACGTATAGGAGGACTAGGAGGAACTTAACAGAGGACCAATCGGGAGAAGAAGGGGGGAAATGGTGGGGGAAAGGGAGAGAGGCAAACCATGAGAGACTCTTGAATGCTGACAAAAACTGAGAACTGATGGATGTGGGGGGGAGGAGGGATGGGCATGGAGGAGGGCACTTGTGGGGATGAGCACTGGGTATTATGTGGAAACTAATTTGACAATAAACTATTTGTAAAAAAAAAAAAAAAAAAAAACACTGGCCTGAAATCTCCACCACATCAGGCAACCAGTCCCTACCCCACCCCGTCTTGACAGTCACTAGCATCAGACGCTGCCCCACTTCCGTGATTTCTACCACAGGAAATTCTCTTGGTCCAGGAGCTCCCAGGCTTCCAGCAACCTCACCTCCCCTACTCCTCACCACTCCCTCCAGTTTCCACCCCATCCCCCACCCCAGCTGCCCCACACCATCAAGAACATCAGGTACTCTTGGCTTCACTTGACTTCTAGTCCAGCCTAGACCCCATGATCAGGCCATTTCAAGAGAACCAGGTTTCCTACCAGAGACCATAGAAATGAGCCTCCAAATATGGTTCTCATTAGTCACACGTGGTTACTGAACACTTGATATGGGGCTAGTTTAAATTGAAATATACTTTCAGCATATAAAATATACTGAAATTTATCAGTTTTCAAAGGTTTAGTATGAAAAAATGTAAAATATCTCACTGATAATTTTTATATTGATTTCATGTTTCAGTGATAATTTCACACAATATATTAAGCTATTAAAATGAATTTCACCTGTTTTCTTTATCTTTTTAGTGTGTTTACTAGAAAATATACAGCTTGCCTTTGATATTTCTACCCCAACCAGCTGCTGACTAGAACCACAGGAAAATCTGTAGGGCAGGGAGTTAGCAGGGATTAGGCAGGTATTAAGGCCTCACAGAGGGGTCTGTGGTGTAGGGCATCCCACAGGAGCTGGGCTACTGGTAGGGAGGGGAGTCAGAGACCTGGTCCTACCACAACACACCACAGATATCTCTGCCCACGGACTAATTCATGGGAGAGTGGTTTGCTGAAAAAGCAGCTGCCATGTTGGTAACAACTGGCATTTATGCCATTTCTGCCATTAGTGCTCCCTGTATAGACTTGATGCAGAAAGGAGGGGTTTGGGCAGGCAGAGAGCCCCACATCCATAGCTGAATGGAGGTAAGGATAAGAAGAATGAAAAAGAAAGGTTGAATTACTCCAGGAGGAGAGGTACCATTTCACACAGGAAGAATGATGTAAAGGGAAGGGCTCACTGTCTAAATAACTCCACCAATTTTCCAGAGTGACCGCCAGTACCAAATGGACAAATGGGAACTTGAATGGATTTGAGGTCTCCCTGGAGATCTAGATAAATGTACCTTATTCCATACTCAGAATCAGATCCTGAGACAAAGATTAGAATACAAGCCCATACTGGATGCTCCCCTTTACTGACTACTCCACCCATCCTCCAGCTGTGAATGCTGGCTGCTAACAGGACAGCACAGCCCTTTGCTGGAGCATTGCCTTTGGACAAATGGGCACTGCCTCAGTTAAGAGGATATCCCTGCCCTCCTCAACCTTTCAGAGCAATCCTTGGGAAATGTCTAACTGAAACAGGGGTTTAAAAGCCAGTTCCCATGACTCCAGGGGGGTCCAACTCTGTGGTACTATTTGTACTCCAGAGCTCCCCAAGGGATCAGGCTGATGCCAGTCTCTAGCCAAGACCATAGCTTTGCTCAGTCCCTTCCCCTACTCCATCCTACAGGCCTCTCTTCTCTTCCCATTAAGTCACTTGAAAAAGCCCCTCTTTCAGGCTCTGCTTCTAGGGAACTCATTAAGGCAGGATGGGAAGGAAACATGGATTGGTGAGTGGGGAAGCCAGACAACAAAGGCAAAGTAGCCATAATGGTGTATTATCAAGCCAGCCACCACCAGGGGTGACTAGAGACTAATCCTGTGGGAGAAACACTGGAAGTCAGTATAGAACACCCTTAAGAGTTATCTCACCTAGGAGGCAAGGAATCTGGGGTATTTACGCACCAATTCTCCCCAAACATTGGCTCAGACTTCCAGGGTGGGGAGCATCAACTCTACAGCTGAGAATGGACAGGGGATCCCTCCAAGATGCCAGCGAAAGCCTCTGGGCCACAAAGCTGCCAGTTGGGAGTCAAGTCACTAT